GGACGGAGTTCGGCCCTCAGCACCACCTAGAAGTAAGTAATTAAAGGTATTGTGTCCATCCAGAACAACAACAAAAAAAAAAAAAAAAAAAAAAAAAACAAGGGAACTCCAAGGCCTTTTGCATTTTTTTTAAAAAAATTGCATCAAAGTAGAAAGCAATTAGTGATGTATTTGAATTGAAATTATTAATCAACCATCTTAGGGTAACAATCAACAGGGACTGGTCACAACTGCAGTCTTTACTAGTTTGGAAGTAAAAAAAAATGACAGAATGGATCTCGGTGAAAGAAAAATCAGAATATGGAAGAATCTCACAAATATTGAGTGAAAAAAAAAATCAGACACAAAAGAATACACAGTACCAAAACAGGTGGAACTCATCTGTGTTAGAAGTGGGAAAGAATGTGACTCTTGGAAGACCTGACTAGGAGGGTCCCCTTGCCCTTGAGAGGGGCTTCTGGGATCCTGATAAAAGTCTTAGTTCTTAATTTGAGTGACAAGTATACAGGGTATAAATTTATGGAGTTGTTGATTTTGTATGCTTTGTGTGTATATGTGTGTGTATTAAACATTAGTAAATATTTTTCTTTTGATAAGTAACATTTATTAAACATAAATATTTATCTAATGACACACTAAGATATTATTTATGCATTTTAGTAAAGTATCTGGTTATTACCAGATTCCTAGTCATTGTGCAAAAAGACATTTTAATAAAGCAGGGTAATATTTAAAATATTAATATTTGCATTTGTTGAGAATTTTCACTCTTTTCTTTCTTTGGCAATCTGAAATAATTAAATGTTAATTCAAGTAAAGTATTAAAAATACATGGGGAGGGCTGGGGTTGTGGCTCAGTGGTAGAGTGCTAGCCTAGCATGTGCAAGGCCCTGGGTTCAATCCTCAGCACCACATAAAAATAAAGTAAAGGTATTGTGTCCAACTACAACTAAAAAATAAATATTAAAAAAAAAAAAAGACCATGTCATGGACATCTTACCCCGCATAATTCTTTTTACAAAGCCAGGGCTCAGTAAACATTCAATGCTTAGTCACAAATTTAAAAAAAAAATACACGGGGACTGGGGCTGTAGCTCAGTGGTAGAGTTCTTGCCTTGCAGGTGTGAGGCCCGGGGTTCGATCCTCAGCACCCATAAAAATAAATAAAGATATTAAAAAATAAAAATACAGGTTGACACCAAGAAAAAAACTCAATAAGCTTTGACTTTTACTTGCTTAATTATACTTCTATTCAATAATCTTACTTTTTTGCAGATAGGTTTTCTTGGTGCTTGGCATACAGAAGGTGCTCAATAAATGTTTTATGTACATACTCAAGGGAACATTATACTACTTCCCTTTTATGTAGAGACCCAATTGATAAAACTAGAGAAGTCACTGAACACAGTAATCTACCTGTTACCTCAACATTTACTGAATATCTCATTTGTACAAGGTCTGAAAATTTTCCAAACTCATCTAGTGCTGGTTCCCTTTTGCTTCAGTTCTTTCCTCAGTTCACCTCTTTCCTCATGCATTTTACTATAAGCAGCAATGAAAACACCCGACTGTACATTGCACACTTTCATTGGAAACCTCCTTAGCCAAATATTCAAGTTCATCACCTACAAGTTGTTTTCCACCCAACTGTGGTGCACATTTCAGCCAAATCTCTGTAACAAGGGTCACTGTTCATTTTCTAATTATCTGCCCTCATTTCCTTCAAGAACTTAATGAAAGCATTCATATATTTTAACATTCATACATTTTTCAATTAATGGGCTTTATTTTTGAAAAATTTTAGATTTTTAGGATTTTTAAATTTTTTTTTATTTTTTTGGTATCAGGATTGAACCAGGGGCATTCAAACTCCGAGTCACATCCCCAACCCTTTTTTCTATTTTATTTAGACAGGGTCTCACTCAGTTGCTTAGGCCCTTGCTGAATTGCTGAGGCTGGCTTAATTACAGACATGCATCTGGCCAATTTACAGGAAAATTGAGTGAAAAGTACAGATTGTTCTAATATACTCCCTCCCTCCTCCTTCTGGTTTTCTCTCTTATTAACAGCTTGCATTATAGTGGCACATTTGTTAGAAGTGATAAGCCAATATGGATAAATTATTCTTACCTAAACACCATAGTTTACATTAGGATTCATGCTTTTTAAAACATTTTTTAGTTTTAGTTGGACACAATATCTTTATTTTGTCTATTTTTATGTGGTGCTGAAGATCTAACCCAGGGCCTCACACGCTAAGCGAGCGCTCTATGGATGAGCCACAATCCTAGACCCAGTATTCATGCGTGTGCTGAACATTTTTATGGGTTTTGATAAATATATCATGGCATGTACCCACCACTGCAGTATCATATAGTTTACTGTTTCAGAAATCCCTGTGCTCCACCTATTCATCCTTCCTCCAGCCCCCAAATCCATGGCTACCATTGCCTCTGTAGTTTTGCCTTTTCTGGAATGTTGTATAGGTGCAACCATACAGTAGGCAGCCTTTCTGATTGACTCCCACAGCTACAAGTACAGGTTACCACCATCTCTGGGAGTTGTAGCATCTTGAAAGATGTGGGCCCCACACATTTGAAAGTCCTAAAAACAATGTTAAGGGTGACAACCGGTATTTTTATAATGGCAAAGGAAAAAAACAAACATCAGACTGTAGGACAGGTGATAAAGTAGTGGTGGGTGGTGAAATGCCTGTTTGTTTCTTTGTTTTGTTTCTACAGAGAAAGCATCCACTATGGAGCTGAAGCCAATTCAGCCACGTGGTTTCCCGATCACAGATTTAAGACATACTGCTTGGAGCAGCAGGAAGGAGTTTAGCAAAAATGGTAGGAAAACTAGGACAGTGGGTCCTCTCAGGGAGGAGTGGGATAGTAGACCCCTTCTGTCCTCCTGTCAGTCTCAAGCAAGTTCCCAACGTCCTGCCCAGGTCCAACTCTTGACTTTTGACTGAGAGCCAGAGTGCATCAGACTTTCAAGGCTCACTGCTCAATCTTACCCTATGGAGCAGAGAGTTGGACTATTATGACCGGCTAAAGATTCGAGGTCATTTTGCCCTGCACTGCCAGTTTTAATTGAACTTGTTCTTACAGATTTTATGGTTAAAAGGCTTTTGCTTCTAATTATCTGAGTCTTGAAATTTGTGTGTTAGGTAGTAGTTAGTAACGAGCAGTGGAAATGCAATCCAATAACTCAGGAGGATCGTGGGGCGTCATTGAATTCCCTTTAATGAACAATCAAGTAACACAGAGAAACAACAGGCATGTTAACTCTGAGAATAAACAGGTGAGAATAAAAGCTAATTCCCGACAGAACCTGGGTTTCTCAATCTGTATCAACAGGGAAATTCCCAAAGCGCAGGCAATAATAAAGTTTGCCCCGTCATTGACCCTAGCACCCACTTTGGCAGGATCGCCTTGAAGAAGCGCCCCTTTACTGGGATGGTCCTCAGGACGAGGGTCAGAAGCTGCCCCTGCTGGACGTGAAGGAGGCGTGAATCGCCTGGCTGGCCAGACGGAAGGTGGGACCTCGGTCCCCGCAAACCTCAGTGACCTCCTCTCGCAGACTGTCCTCTGGAACCTTACTTTACTTCCCCTGACCACAAAGCCTCCGGCTGGATTTCCACGGGAGGCTGCGAGTTTTCTTCGGCGGACAAGGGGCACAAGAACCAGGGCTGGGCGTCAGCTCCCCGCTCGCGCGGCCGCCGGTGGGTCACGAAGGCGCCGGTCCCGGGAGACGTGCGCCCCGGCGGCGCTCGGGGCCGCGTCGCTTCCGCAGGTGTCCGGCCACCCAGACTGCGCTGAGCGCAAACTGCTTCTAGGAGAAAGCGTGCGGCTAGCGCGGCGGGCAGACTGCAGCACTGGCCCCGCCGCTCACGGGTTACCTGTCGGTTTCAAAATCACGAAGAGAATCGCCAGGCCTTTCGGCCCTGGGAGCGCGCCCGCCGCAGAACGGGCTCCGGCGGCGGGCTCACGCCACTGCCGCCGACGCACGCCGGAAGCCCCTCGCATCGCGGCCGGCAGTGGGCACGCGTCTTGACGTCACTGGGAAGCGTGGGAGGCGCGCCCTCGCGGCGTCTGCTGGGAGTTGTGGTCCGCCCTCGGTGGGTCGATCCAGCCTCCCGGGACAAGGCCGGAAGTGGCTCTTCAAGCCCTGAGGCGTGTAAAAGGTTGGCATTCGGAAGTCCAGCCACGGGGGTGCCCTTCGTGAGCTCGGGTGACCGTCCCGGCGCTTCCAGAGCCAGGACCGCGGCGAGAGGCGCGCGGAGGGGAGGGCGGTGGCCTGGCGTCACCATGGTCACCGCCAGCCCTGCGGGCGCGTGACGTCACCCTGGGCTGGCCGTGACGCGTCTCGGCTGCAGGAAGCCGGGGAGTCGGAGAAGGGGGCGCGCCTCGCCGGGTTGGCGCGGGCGGGCCCGCCCCGCTCTTCGCACGCTTTGTTCTTTTGTTCTGGTCTGCTGCGAAGCCGGGCCGCCCCAGCCGTGGCTCTGCAACAGGTGTGTCTTGGGCTCCCGCACCCACGGGGCGCCGCCAGGGAGAGGGGGCCGCCGCGCAGTCCGTCGGCGCTGGGTCCTGGTGCAGGGCCTCTGCGCCGCTGGAGGCTCGGGTGCGCCTGTGACGTGCCGCTGCCTGCGTCCGGAGTCCGCCGGGCAGCCGGCCCTGGCGCCGGGGCTCGACTGCGCACGCACCGGGACTTCAGAGCCTCGCGTCACGCGGTAGCTGCAGGGGCGCGGCCCGGGAGCCCGGAGCCCGGGCCCGAGGACGTGACGAGCTCCAGGGCCCGCGAGGGAGTGCGGACCCCGCGCAGCAGCCGCACCCCGCACTAGTACTTGCGGGGCTGGGGGCGCGCGTTCGAGGAGTGGACCGAGTGGCGTTAAGGGGAGGCGAGGGGCCGTCCCCTGGGTCTCCACGCGACCTCTGCCCAGTGAGAGAAGACCTCGCTGAGTGCGGGACTCGGTCCTGAAATGCTCGTGGCAGATGGCCGTCGGTCAGGACAGTCGTGCTGCGAGGGTGGCTCCAAACTCGCCATTTTGGGTGCGACAGCTCCTTGCCGGCTTTCTTTTGCAGTGCCTCGTGTTAGACCGGCGTGCCTGTTCGGCGGCTTCCGTGTTGGCCTTGACTCTTGGCCTCTAAGAGCACCGGAGCTGCTCTTCCTTCTTTGGCAGGTGAATCCAGCTGTTGAGACCCGCCCCCAGGTCCCTGCCCTCCGCAGTCGGTCTGTGAGTCCGTCCAGGCTTCTCTGCGTCGCCTTAAAGCGCAGTGCCTGAAACCGAACCTCGTTCTTGAGAGGTGCTTTGAAAATACCTGCAAGTATGAGTAGTACTGGTTTTTATGTGGATTTAGTTGGACATCAAATTTTGTTTATTTTTTTAAAACGTCAGTAATGTTCTTTTTTGCATAAACTGAATGAATTAGATTAACGCTGTTCTTATAACGGGATTGTTATCCTTAACATCAACATTGGCCTTTGTGATTGTTTTGATATTTTGGGGGTGGGGGGGGTCGGTTGTTCCTGTCAGAATAATTACAAAACCTAATTTGGTTAGTCAGTGTTTTAATTGTCCTTCCGAACTTTATGTCGTTACAAATCTTCTGTTTCTTCCTGTATGTTATTGAACAGGTCAAGGTAAGGGGAAGGCCTGTAACATGGCACTGTAGACGTCCTCTGCATTGTCACTGTCTTTACAGTCTTTCAGTATGACTGTGTGGACAGGTTTAGTGATTGTCATTCAGCCCTTTTTCCTTCTTTTTGAGACTTTTCATAATTGCATAATTAGAATCATCTTTTCTGAGCCTCTGTGCCTTTTGATCTCTTGCTTGCATCCTCGCCTAGTATTTACTTTAACCCAGGCACACAACTGCCTTCTGTAACTGTTATAGGTGTTGCTTATTTGGTTGCTGTTACTTGCAATCATAAGTGTTCTACCTGAGACATTTTTCATGATCCTGATTTTCCCAGAGTTTTGGGTAACCAATTATCAGTGTACAACATTTTCTTTCACTGATAAAAACTATAAGATAACATCTTCATTTTTACTGAAGAGTTCTGTTTTTAAAAGTTTTTTCGTTTATTGAAAGTTCAGTTGGGATAAATTCCCTTTATTGTTTCCTTTTTTTTTTTTTTTGCAGGGCTATGGATTGTAACCACAGCCTTGCTCTTGCCAGGTGAACACTCTACACCTGAGTTGCATCCCAGTCCCACATCCTCTTCTGAGGCATGACACCATTAAGATAAATCAAGAATCTCTTGACTGGCAGATGTTTCATTTTCACAGAGTGAAATTTGTATTCCTGTGCAGACAGATGAAGCTAGGGACCATCCTGGCTCTCCTTCCGTTCTCCATCACCTCCACCTGCCTCAACTGACTGTGATGTGGTGCTGCTTTTATTCTTTTTCCTTTTAATGTATCTATAGTTCCATGTTTCACACTGGGATTACTGCATTGGATAGTTATTTTTCCTGTTTCTATCAGATCAGTTTGAGTAAATTTTACCCAGCCCTCTTTAATCCACAGCTTGATTGCAAAACCTTCAATAGGCCAGAGGGATTTTTCTGTAATTTGAGTCTTGGGCCTGAAATCAGATGACACAGATCCCCTCATGGTGGTGTCCAAAGAAACTATCTATGCACCTTAATGGTACTTGCTAGATCCTCTGAAATGACTTGGGCCCTGTCTGTTTGAATATTCAGTGTTTTTGTTTTTCATGGTCCTCAATATCTTTATATTTAATCCCTTCTTTTTTTTTTTTTTCTTTTTTAAGTTCTGTGGTTTGAGGGTCTTAACTCCAGTTATAACTTGCATCCCAACAACCTTGGTGATACCTAAATAATTGTGCTTCTCTCCTTCTATTCAGAGTTAAATCTGCTTGACTTATTGCTACAATATTGTGCATTTGGGTCTGTAGTCATAAATAGTCTTCATTATTTGTTTAGTATTTACTTATTGGAGATGGTGTCTCACTGCATTGCCCAAAATGGCCATAAATTCCTGGGCTCTAGCCATCTTCCTGTCTCAGCCTCCCAATAGCTGGGACTATAGGCATGTGCCCCATACCCAGATTAAATAACCTTCTTGATTTTTACCTGTTTTATTTTTGCCAACCTTCTTTTACAGCGTTATTAGTCTTTTATTTCATAATTCATATTTTTAATTTTAAATTTATAACCAGAATCATCTTCCCTAGCTTGTGTTTCTAAATAAATTAAAATTGAAAGGGGAGAAAATTCTTCTTGCCTGTGTCTTTAAGGAAACAGGTACATCTAATTTTGTTTTCCTCATCTTTATCTCTTCCTCAAGATAATTTTAAAAAGCATATTTGCCAGACGTTTGTCTCCGCACTTTTGAAGATGTGGGAATCAAAGCTAGAGAAGAGTAGGGCTTATATAATTGTGCGTGATCAATTAATATTCATTAGTAGTTCTGAGAACCAGGCTTTGCTGACAACCTGAACTAGGAATAGATCTCCCCAAGAGCAAAGTTTATTTTTGTTTTGTTTATTGAGATACAGGTTACATGTAGACAGTGTCAAATATACTAGTGAACCTACACCCACATCAAGTCAGAAAATTTCCAATGCCTCAGTCTCTTGTTTCCCTGCCAGGGATTGATGCCCTCAGAGACAACCAGTATTCTAATTCCCTTTCCATAGATGATTTTTGTCTGCTTTTTAACTTAATGGAGGCATGTAGTATACATTCTTCCATGTCTGGATTATTTTACTTGACATTGTTAATGAGTAGCTTTTTCCTGTATACTTTGGAATAGTCTTTTATTATATGAATACACCATGGTTTGTTCATCCATTTTCCTGTTGAAAGACATTTGGGCTGGGTGGTGGTGCACACCTGTAATGCCAGTGACTGGAGAGGCAGAGCTTCAGGAGGATTGCAAGTTCACAGCCAGCCTGGGCAACTTATCAGACTGTCTGTCTCCAGAAAGAGATAAAGGGGTGGGGGTGCATCTGGTAGAGTGCCCCAGGTTCCATCCCCAGTCCTGCAAAAAAACAAAAAAGTGGGAAAAAAAGGGGAGGGGCATTTGGGTTTTTTCCAGTTTGAGGATATTAAGAATAAACCTGCCATGAATATTCTTATGCAAATCTTTTTTTAATTGATTCTTAGTTATAAATGACATAGAATCCATTTTGACGAAATTTTACAAGCATAGACTGTAGTTTATTCTAATTAGGACCCCATTGTGGTGGGCACGATGGTGGAAATTAGGTATTTCTAATATGTACATAGGAAAATCTGTTAGGTTTTTTCTACTGTCTTTCTTATTCCTAGCCCCCTTCTTACACAAATCTTTACAGGGACACAGGCCCTCTAGCTGTATGCATAAGTGTGGAATGAAAGCATCAGGGAGTGAATGTACGTTTACCTTTAGTATGCACTAGCAGTTCTCCTAAGTGCTTGGTCAGCTTACACCCTCATAACAATGTGCAAAAGTTCCAGTTGCTATAATTACTATTGACCAGGTCTCTTCAATTTCAGACATTCTAGTGGGTAGGCAGTATAAATTGTGTTACTGTGAGATTTAATTTGCATTAATGGCAAAATTTTCAAATGGCCTATGAAGACTTTTGGAAAGTAATCTGAATATTATGTGTAGCAAAGAAAAGGAGCAAAGATATTTTGCCTCCCTTAATGAAGAACATAGAGATGTATGATCCATATTACTAATTAAATATCTAGGGACAAAACTGCATCTAAAGTAACGGCTTAACTCGATAGAGCTTACTGAGGAGGGTGCCAGCACCCCAGTTAACAGTTATCTTGCATCTTTTTTTTTTTTATTCCGAAATGTAAAGGAAATGGCATAGTTTTGGCTATTTCCAAATAGAAAAGTAGGTGGATTTTGTGGTTTGCTGGGAGCAGCTAATGTACATAGAATTCATCATGGCCTTTTCTTCCTCCCCTAGGTATGTCTTCTCCAGACGACCCCCTTCTCAATGGGGAATGTACCCTACTCCCATCAGCCAGTTTTCGGGTAAGTTGGGATTTTCTGAAGTACTGTTTCATTTCTCAGAGTAGGATTGTGTTTTTTGCTGTGGAGTATATTTATCCAAAAGCCAATGTTGCAATTTATTCTGGACTTCCATTTGTCCAGTGACTCATTGCCATCTCTGCTTCCCCGGCTTTGACTAATCCATTCACCACTTACTCTTGCTTAGTATCTTGCCGTGCTCCAGGGATAGTAGAGCACACTTGATTCTTTACTTGGATCAGCCAAAATGACTGCTAAAAACCAAAACAGCTAAATATAGAAAAGGTGAATGAGTACCGTGGAAATTGGAGAACGAGGAAGCTTATGTGATCTGGAGGGTATTTCCAGAGTTTCATGGGGGATCTGGGATCTGGGCTGCCTCTCAAAGGAAGGGTGAAACTTGGATATTTGAACACATAAGGTGCAAGGGATGGATTCTAGGTATGCACAAGGAAGCAGTAGCAAGGGTTACACAGGATTCAGAGAAATCTGGAGAAGATGTTTTTGCTGTGTTAAACACATGTTGGAGGAGATCAGATTGTGAAAGGCCTTGAGCACCTGGATGAGAAGCTGAAGGCTTTCTCTTTTAGGCCATTTGTGAACCTTCACTAGTTTCTAATGGAGGAAAGGTGCCTGCTGACGTTTTTAGCAGAAATAGTTGCTTGAGAACTTGGACAGGTAATAGTGTCTGCACCAACCATAGTCACCTGTCAGCCCCCTTGATCGGGTTCCGTCTTAGTCTTTCCCCCCTGCTTCCTTCCTGTCCCACAACGTAATCTTCTTTCCAAAGAAGTGGTCCCAGTTCTTCCCACTTTCAGTTTAAGCATTTTTAGTATCACTGTATTTTTTACTGAGGTATACTATGACAAAAAGTACGCAGAGTCATCCCTTGGTGTCCTCACAGATACCAACATCCATGGATGCTCCAGTTCCTTACATGAAAGGGTATGTTGCACACAACCTATGCATGTCCTCCTGAATACTTATTTGTAGTTTACTCATAATGTCAAATACAATGTACAGTGTAAGTAAACAGTTGTTATTATATGTTATTTATGGAATAATGACAAGAAAAAAGTCTGTGCCTATTCAGATAAGTCTGTACTCCTTCAGACATAATCCATAGCCAGCTGAATCTGCAGATGCAGAGCCCACAAATGAGCAGGGCAAACATGTATTTGATAAGTTTGTACCTGGGTACATACTCATAGAGAAACTATATTTTGAATAATTGTATATTTTTTAGTTTATTGAGATTTGTTTTTTGTTTTATTTTTTATTTTTGCTTTTTTGGCCAAGTATAATGGTTCATTCTGGTAAATGATTAGCACTAAAGAAGAATGTATATTTTTCTGCTGTTGTGTGAAGTGTTCAATAGATACATTAGTTTGCTGCTACTGTACTTAATTACCACATGCTGTGTTATTATAGATGTTACTTTAGGTATGCATATTTGACTTACCACTGCTTACCTCGAAGTGATGAACCATTTCATGCATAGTGTACTTTCATCCCCCATTTTTACACTATTTTTGCTTTGTATTTTACTTGTGCATATATTAAAAATCTTATAATACTTTATTTTCATTTAGACAGCTAATTATCTTTGAAAGAGGTTTAAATAATAAGAAAAAAAATCCCCATATATTTAGCTACCATTTCTGGTGTTCTTGATTTCTTCATGGTTTACAGTTGAAGGTGATTTTGATCCTAGGGAACATTTGGAAATGTTAGGACACATTTTTAATTGTCTAACTTGATGAGGAGTACTACCAGTGTCTAGGGTGTACAGTGCTAGAGGCAGGTAGCCATGCTGCCTAGAGTACACAGGACAGCCCTCCTCCATTATTGAAGAGAGTCATCCAGTTATCAGCAGCTGAGGCTGAGAAATCTTGCTGTAGGATCTATGTTTTATCTGGTATTATTTTTTTTCTGATGAGGACTTCCTTAACATTCCTTGTATTGTATGAATCCATTCAGATTTTTATGTCTGAAATAGGATTTCCCTTTGTTTTTGAACTCTAATTTGGCAGGCTTTTTTTTTCAGTACATGATAGTGTTCCACTGTCTTCTTGCTTGCAAGAAGACAAAAAACGATGTAATTTTATATTTGTTCCTTCATAAGTATTTTTTCCTTTGTTTGCTTTATTCTATCTGAATTTTCTTTTGGTGGAGTTTTCTTTATGTTTCTTATGCCAGCAGTTCATTGAATTTTTTGGATATGTGGGTTTATAATTTTCATCAATTTTGGAATATAATTAGCTTTTATTTCTTTGTCTTTTAAGCATACCTTTAATTTCTCCATCCACTCTTGTTGTCCAGGGATTCCAGTTACAAATTTATTGGACTACTTGAAATTGTTCCGGAACTTCCCTGTACTTTTTTTTTTTTAATTCCTTTTTTTCCTATCTGTTTCATTATGTATAATTTCTACTTTTATGTCACTGAGGTTACTAATCATCTCTTCCTCAGTTCCTAATCAGTTAATATTATCAAGTGTATTTTTTATCTCAGAACATTCTTACTTTTGGATCTATAAGTTCTGGGTGGTATTGTTCTTAATGTCTTCCATATCTCTTCCTAACTTTTTGAACATGGAATACAGTCCTTTTGCAGGGGAGGGGGCGGGGGGGTGAGTAGCTAAAGATTGAACTCGGGCACTCAACCACTGAGCCACATCCCCAGCCCTTTTCTGTATTTTTTATTTAGAGACAGGGTCTCACTGAGTTACTTAGCGCCTCACTGTTGCTGAGGCTGGCTTTAAACCCATGATCCTTTGCCTCAGCCTCCCAAGTTGCTGGGTTGGTGTCCATTGATTGATGTTTCCCCCTATGTATGACTTGTATTTTTCCACTTCTCTATATACTTGGTAATTTTCTATTGCATGTAACACACTGGATTCTACATATTTTTATGTTCCTTTTTTAAAATTTTTCTTTTAGGTACCAGGAGTGAATGGGTTCTTAACACTGAGCCACATCTCGAAGCCCATCCTCCTTCCCCACCTTTTTTATTTGGAGATAGGGTTGCTTAGGAAGCAAACAAAGTGAGCCCTGTGCATGCTCCATCCAGCTCACTGCTTGATAGTTCCCAAGTTGTGGGGAGGGAGGGGAACCCTGGAGGAGCCTTGATGCCCTGGGAGGATGCTCCTCTCTGGTTGTCGTGCATGCACGCTAAGTTTCTGAGGCTGACTTTGAACTTGTGATCTGAGGGGCGCAGGTGTGTGCCACTGCCCCCAGCTCCTATGGTGTGTTCTTGATCCTTATTCCAGGATACAATTCAGTTGCTGGAAACAGTGTTTGCTTTTCAGCCTATTTATACAGTTCTTAGGTAAGTCGGGAATAGCAGTTAGTCTAAGTCCATTTGTCTGTTTATTCCCCCTACTAAGGCAGGACTGTTCTGAGAATTCTACCCAGTGCTGCATAAATTATGAAGTTTTCAGGTTGACTGATGGGAACAGACTGTTTTCAGCCCTTTGAGGTCTCTGAAGCCCTTTTGGGTGACTCGTTGGCCTTCGGTCATCTCACCACACTCTGGCACTGATTGTGCTTTGCGAGGCGCTCATAAAGAGCTCTCATTGTCCCCCCCAGCAGTCTGTCCTGTGAACTCTAGTCACCTCAAGTCACAGAGCTGCCTCTTCATCCCAGGGCATCAAGGCTCCCCTCCCTCCCCACAACTTGGGAACTATCAAGCAGTGAAATGGATGGAGCATCCGCAGGACTCACTTTGTTTGCTTCCCAACCACTGAGCTTTACTGAGGTTCTAGATGTTGGAACTTGTTTCATTTTGTCTGGAATTTTTGGTATTTCATGCAGGAGGGTAAATCCAACTCCTGTTAATGCCATCTGGCCATGGCTTAATCCTCCTGACATTGATTTTTGGACAGTAAGCCTATTAGGGTTGATCCAGTATAACCTCTCTATAGGACTACATTTCCAGGACCTGTGGACAGTTTGGTCCAGCGATCCTCAGGAGCAGATCATGACTCGGCTGTAATACTCTGAGAGTCTTAAGCCAACAGGGCCAGAAGGAAGGGCATTCATAAGCAGAGTCCAGACGTCTGGTCACAGGCTCCTCTCTGGTTTTCATGCATGCACCTTCTCACTGTGATCGCAGACATGAGAAGCGTCTCCCCAGGCAAGTCTTCTGAGCCTTGGAGTTCAGAGCTTTTAAATGTAGCAGCCAGATGGTCAGCTGTGGCACAGGCCCCACACTAGACACTGGGTCCATAACAGATGGTTCCTGTTTACTTTCAGCAGTGGAGACAGTCAGGCACATCTGCCCGGTGCCTCACACACCTAGAATGACATCAGCAGTCAGTGCTGAGTGAGCATTCCAAGTTTTAGTTTTAGAGCTTGTTCAAGGGTCATCATCATGGAGCCAGGTTTCCTTGGATGTACCAGGGACCAAGCCCAACAGACCTGCTGCTTCAACTCCTCCATTGCAGTCTGGACTTGCCCTGTTCCTACAGCATGCTGGGATTTTTCATGGGCGCCCATCATGCACATCTCTTATTATTACATTTACTTGCCCATGGAAATCATATTTATATCAGATATTTGGAGCTCCTTCCTTCCAGTGGATTCCCTCCTTCAATAGTTAAGATCCCCAGCACTGTAAAAACAAGAAGTATAGCAGATGTCTGCATAAAGTATTTTAGAATAGATGTAGCATGTATTCTTTAGCCACCCTTCCTATTAATGGAAATGTTACTTTGATTTTTCTTCCTTCCAAGCCCTCCAGCACTTAGACTCTTTGCACCTTGGGGCATGTCTCCTGTAAGCAGTAAGCTGGAATTGAATGGCATATGCACTTAAAAATTCTGATAAGTCCTGCCAGCTGCCCCTCAGCTGGAGTGCATTCAGATTCTGTTCCCGCCAAAGGACAAGAGCTGCTGCAGCATGTGCCTGTCTTACCCCTTCTGGTTTCAGAGTCGTGGTATGGAGCTTCTTTTCACAGTTTGTTACCAACTTCCTGCTGGACATTTTGGCACATGCTTGTAAATGCAGCTACTCCAGAGTCTGATGTGGGAGGATATTTAAGTACACAAGTTTGAGATCAGCCTGGTCAACATATTGAGATCCCCATCCCAAAACACTCAAAAAATTCTTTATGTGACTTGCCTGTTTGTGTTATTGATCCTTTTTGTTGTAGTGGGTTGCTAATTATTTGTAGGAACTTAGAAGATTATCTTTTGTTTATGGTGCTTTTTTAGAAGTTTTGTGTGTGTGTGCGCACATGCGCTGGAGTTGGAACCCAGGCAAGCGGTTTACCACAGAGCTGCACCCCTGGCCCCTATAGATTTTTGTGTAGTTATAGCTGTTAATCTGTTTGTCTTATAATTTTTACCTTTCAAATTTCAAGCTTATATGCTATTTTTCCTTTTACTTTACTATTTTACCTTTAAAAATTTATCATTAAGCTAGCAGGAATTTTTTTGTGTGTTGTAAAGTGAGGATCTTAACTGAACTTTTTTGGCAAGTAGGCCTTTTTGTTTGTTGTTGTGGTTCTGGGGATTGAACGTCGGGCCTTACGCCTGCCAGGTGAGCATTCTGCTACTGAGCCACATTCCCAACCCACAAGAAGGCATTTGTCCTGACACAGCTTGATGACTAATCCATCATACCTGAACTAATTTGAAAGTTGCTTAAGTCCATTAAACTCCGAAGCATGAGTCTGTTTCTGGACCCTCTATTTTGTTTTTGTTATAGGTACTAAAAAATACTGTTGATGATAGTTACACTGTTAATACATGATATGAACAGAGAGAGAGGATGGTAATGATGGTGAACACCAGCAACACTCCATATTGATGGAGTGCTTCTTTTTTTTTTTTTTAAGAGAGTGAGAGAGAGAATTTTTTTTTTAATATTTATTTTTCAGTTCTCGGCGGACACAACATCTTTTGTTGGTATGTGGTGCTGAGGCTCGAACCCGGGTCGCACGCATACCAGGCGAGCGCTCTACCGCTTGAGCCACATCCCCAGCCCCAGGAGTGCTTCTTTCATGCCAGACCTTAAATTAAGCATTTCACATGGAACACTACTTTTTTTTTTTTTTTTTAAGTTGTTCATACATGGACACATAACTTTAATTAATTAATTAATTAATTTTTAATGTACTGAGATTTGAACCCAGTGCCTCACATATGCTAGGCAAGCACTACCACAAAGCTACAATGGCAGCCCTGGAACACTTCTTATTTAATCCTGTGGGCAAAGTACTGCTTTTGTGTGTTTTTCAGAGGAAGACCTGTCGACATGGTTGTTTGGATAGTGTGTAGCCAGCCTTACTTCTTTTAGCACTGCTGACTTGACCTTCTCCTACAGCTAAGCAGAAATGTCTGTTTCAGGAATCGGTGACCTTCAAGGATGTGGTAGTGGACTTTACCCAAGAAGAATGGAAACAGCTGGACCCTATACAGAGAGATTTGTTCAGGGATGTGACGCTGGAAAATTATACACATCTGGTCTCCATAGGTAAGTATGACCCCCAGAGTTAAGATTGGGCTGTGAAGGAGGAGGGCTGTCTCCTCACTTTTCCTTTAGGTTCAGGAGCCAACAGTATCTAGAGTTTGAGTTTTTGAGGTAGTTTCTACTTCTTTTTTTTTTAATGTTTATTTTTTAGTTGTACGCAATACCTTTACTTTGTTTATTTATTTTTATGTGGTGCTGAGGATTGAACCCAGGGCCTCACATGTGCTAGACAAGCGCTGTACCACTGAGCCACAACCCCAGCCCAGCAGAGGGACAAACTAATAATTTTCTTGAATCCCATCCATGTGTAGGAACAGGTAACACTGAAGCTTGATACACTATTTTTTCCCGTCAGATTTATCCCACATACCAGTTTCTCTAAACCAAAGTGATGAGACTGAACCTGGATTCTGATATGGTTTTCTTCCCTAACTGCAGACAGATTCTTTTATTTATTTATTTTTATTCCCCTTGGCAGGACTCCAAGTTTCCAAACCTGATGTGATTTCCCAGCTAGAGCAAGGGACAGAGCCATGGACTGTGGAACCATTGTGTCCCCTTGGAGGTGAGTAATGGGTGCTGGCAGATGAATGTCACTAGCTCCAGCTGCCAGCCCAGCAAGGGAGGGTTTCATGCCCGAGCTGTCAATGTGTATGCTTCTCTGTAAAGTATGTCCTGTAAAGAAAGAAAAATTATCTATTCTGCCTAGTCTTATATTCTGTCATGCAACTGTCATAATTTATATTCTATTTTTGCATTCCTTCTAGAGGATCGGTCATTCCTGCCTAGTCCTAAAGCCAGGATCTCTGTCTGCACTCTGGGTTCCCTTTCCTGCTTCCTTTGGGACCTTGATCTCATAATTTTCCATTTATTTTTTATTGCCCCGTTTTTTGTTTTGGATCTACAGGTTCTATCCCTGTTAACCATCAAACAGAAACAGTCTATATTTCCAAATACGATTACTCAACACTATTCATCTTTTTGCCTACCATCCTCTCTCTCTCTTCTTTCCAAACCTAGCTCACCAAAAGTGGTCTCTGTAGCAGCAACCTGCATCCCTTCACTTTCTGCATCTCATGCAGACCTTCTGATTCTGTCACTTTTCCAGACTTATTTTGAAGCTGCAAGTGGCCTTTTTCTAAATCATCAGTGTCTAAACTGCATAGAGAAACCTTTTCTAGGACCGATCCTGGGGAAGGAATAACTAGTCTCTCTTGGCAAGGAATATATCCCTAGAGTTAATGGGGTGCAGTTGGAAATTCTCTTTTATAGCAGGAATAAAAATGTGAGTCATGGGACTAGGGTTGTGGCTCAGTGTAGAGCACTTTCCTAGCATAAGTGAGGCACTGGGTTCGATCCCCGGCACCACATAAAAAAATAAACAAATAAAGGTATTGTGTCCATCTACAACTAAAAAAAAAAATGTGAGTCATATGTAATTTGGAAATGCTAGATTAGCTAAAATTATAACAAGTTTTTTACTTGAGAACCATGCAGAGATTTTTTTAAATAGGCAATTAAGTATTATAAATCCCATGGTTGATGTATGAGGTGTCCCCCAAAAGCTCATGTATGAGATAACACAAGATGTTTCACAGGTGAAATGATGGGGTTATGAGACCCCTAACCCAGTAAATGGGTTAATCCACTGATATGGATTAACTGGAGGAAGTAGGTCACTGGAGGCAGGACTTCATGTTTGTATTTGGTGAAGTGAGCTCGCTCTGCTTCCTGGTATCATACTCTGAACTGCTTTCCTCTGCCATGTTCTTCCATCATGATGTTCGGTCTCACCTTGGGCCCAGAGCTTTGAAGTCGACCAGCCATGGACTGAACCTTTTAAACTGAGCCAAAATAAATTTTCTATTCTCTGCATTATTCTCCTCAGGTCTTTTGATCACAGTGCCAAAAAATCTGACTAAAATAATACGTTTCCAAAAGGTTCACAGACTATAACTTTTTCTTTCTCCCTTTTCCTCTCCATCTCCCTGCTTTCTCTCCCCGTTTGTCTAACTATGAAGATGATTTCTTGGAATATAATCCAGAAAATTGGTTTTTATAAGAGCTTATTAATTGATGCTTACAGTTTATTAACTTTGGTAAAAAACAAATTGTGAAGTTGTATTACAAATTAAAAATGAAGTTTCAGAAAGTCCTGACTTGTCCAGAGAGAAAACAATTTTAAAACATTTAAATGTGTATTCAAAAACCTCGGGCATTTTTTTAAAAAAATGCAGTAGTCATAAAAGAAGTTCATTTAGGTAAAAATATAAAACCCCCATGTTGCATAGGTGAAATATAGGTAGTTACAGTTATCTGATCAGTGGACAGAAAGCAAATGTTTGAGGTATTTAGCTTTTTTTGGTTACTTTTTATTGCTGGAATTTGACCCTAATGATGGTGGTCGTAGGAAACCAGCCTCCAGCCTTGCTTTCTTCACTGTTTGGAATAGATTTATCTTTGGTGTAGGATAGCTGCTTGTGTTTATAAAGATAACTCCAGCTCTACAGACATCTGAACAGGTAATTGGAATAGAGACACAGTACCTGCATTGCGGTGCCCTGGGCCTGCCTCCTTCATCTCTTCATCCTCTTTCTGTCCTCTTCTCTAGGCTGTCTCCGTAGCCGCCTCTGCAGCATCAGCATCTAAAATCCTGATGTGTCTGCTTTGCCAGTCGGCCTTGTTCTGCATCCTGGTTTTCAGCACCCTCAGTTTATGCACTGGGTATTAGAATGTTTTGGTCAGTGCCTGGAGAAGAGGAATACAGTAAAATGATTTGGAACTGCTTTCTGAGTAGGGTGCTGGTGTTCAGCATGGTCTTCTGGAACCTTCTCCAGAGAAGTTTGTTTTTTATTGTTGTTGTTGTTTTGTGTTGCTGGGGATTGAACCCAGGGCCTTGTGCATGCAAGGCCAGGACTCCACCAACTGAGCTCTACCCCAGCTCCGTGATCTAATCTTGTTGTCTTCAGCTGAGACACAAGTCATTGTTGGTGACTGGCCACGTCCACACCCTTTTATCCCTCAGCAACACCCAACTCTGTGGTTTGCATTATCCCTCAGTGCAGAACTTTTCGGACGTACTCCTTCAGGTCATCTGATATATCAGTGCATCTTCCTTGGTGTCCTTCCTGTTGATGGAGACATTCATTTAACTACTTGGCTGTGCCAAAGGCTGGCTGCACTGATCTTGTCTTTGTGGGGAAGTTCTACCACTATGAGGCTGCCTGCCTGCCTGCATGCTGTGTCATGCCCGTATCCCAGGGATGGAAGGGATGGTAGGCCTCTCTGGGGTCTTGCTTAGCTCATGCTTGCAGACTGTGGTGAGTGGGAAAGACTCAGGGCTCTCTGGAGTGTGCTGTTTACCTTCCTGTCCCAGGGGAACTGAAGAAATGCAACCTGAAAGAACTTGTTCATGGCAGAACCTTAAGTGTCGATCCCCTGCTTCTGTGGTCATCTCTCTAGTCTGGGGAAACACTCTGCTTTCTGATTGTCCATCTCCTGGCCTTTTTGTTTCTTTGCTGTGCTTGCCCACAAGCTGCTTTTCTTCTTTTTGCATATTTCACTCATCTCTTTACCCTCTGGGCCCTCAAGGATCGTCCCTACCTCTGCTCTTCTTTTACTTCCTTTCCTAGCCTGCAGTTGAACATCCTGCTCATCCTGTACCTTGTGGCGTCTTCCACCCTCACAGGCACGGCCGTGGTCCAGACCTGTTTTTTCTCCACTTTCTCAGAGTGCCTAACTTGAACTTACTATCTTCCTCCCCTTAAATTGTTTCTAGACAGCTCTCCCATTTATAACACGATACAACCATTTCCTCCATGGTCCAGGCTAACAACCGTGGGGCCCTAGCCCAGTCTTTCTGGTCTGCCCTGTCTTTAAATCAGTATTCTTGGACTTGTTGTATTGTTCATTAGCATGGAATCCTAGTTCTGGCTGCCCTTTCAGATTCAGGCCATTTATGCCTATCTTTAACCGTCTCCAGTCACTTTTTAAATTATCACCTTAAATGTAGTCTCCTCACTCACTCTAAGAAATTATCTGTAAAGTTGAAGTAGGCTTTCTTTTTTTTTTTTTTTTTTTTTTTTAAAGAGAGAGTGAGAAAGGAGAGAGAGAGAATTTTTAATATTTATTTTTTAGTTCTCGGCGGACACAACATCTTTGTTGGTATGTGGTGCTGAGGATCGAACCCGGGCCGCACGCATGCCAGGCGAGCGCGCTACCGCTTGAGCCACATCCCCAGCCCGAAGTAGGCTTTCTTTTGCCATATTCATAGGTTGTTTATTGTTCTTCTTAGCTCTTCTTTCTCCCCAATAATAGGGTTATATTCTTATTTTTAGCTTCATTAGATCATTCCCACAATAGTAGTTCTTTTTTCTCAGTTCAGGGGAACACTCACATTTTATTTTATTTCAGAAGGGGAGACAAGACCTGAAGATAGTGTTCCCCGCCCAGAACTGGGCATCTCTGAAGAAGAGCTGTCTTCAGAGGTGATAGTGGGAACATACAGAAGGGAAGATATTTGGAATTCCCATGTCTTGGAGTCTCGGGAATCTGAATGCAATATAGAGAGGCAGCAAGCAAACCAACAAACACCACCAAGTGAAGTAGAAGTGGTCAAAAAAATAGTACCCACCCGGGAGGGAGGCCCTGCCACGAACGAACTTGAAAAAAGCATCATTGTGAGTTCAAGCCTTTTAGCCCAACAGGAAATATCTCCAGGACAGGCTTCTGCTAAAGTAAGCATCAAACAGAATTCACACACAGTGAAAAAAGAGAAGTCCTGTAAGTGCAGTGAATGTGGTAAAGCTTTTAGCTACTGTTCTGCTCTTATCCGCCATCAGCGCACACATACTGGAGAAAAGCCTTACAAATGTAATGAATGTGAAAAGGCCTTCAGCCGGAGTGAAAACCTTATAAACCACCAGAGAATTCACACTGGAGATAAGCCATACAAGTGCGATCAGTGTGGAAAAGGCTTCGTTGAGGGCCCCTCTCTTACTCAGCATCAGAGAATACACACCGGGGAAAAGCCCTATAAGTGTGACGAGTGTGGGAAGGCCTTCAGTCAGAGGACGCATCTTGTTCAGCATCAGAGGATCCACACGGGTGAGAAGCCTTACACCTGTAATGATTGTGGAAAGGCTTTTAGCCAGAGAGGTCATTTCATGGAACATCAGAAAATTCACACAGGAGAGAAGCCTTTCAAATGTGAGGAGTGTGATAAGACTTTCACCAGGAGCACACACCTCACTCAACATCAGAAAATTCACACGGGAGAGAAAACCTACAAGTGTAATGAATGTGGCAAGGCCTTCAACGGGCCCTCGACCTTCATCCGTCACCACATGATTCACACGGGCGAGAAGCCATATGAGTGCAACGAGTGTGGCAAGGCCTTCAGCCAGCACTCGAACCTCACCCAGCACCAGAAGACACACACCGGCGAGAAGCCCTACGACTGCGCCGAGTGCGGGAAGGCCTTCAGCTACTGGTCATCCCTGGCGCAGCATCTCAAGATCCACACTGGGGAGAAGCCCTACAAGTGCAGTGAGTGCGGAAAGGCCTTCAGTTACTGCTCGTCCCTTACGCAGCACCGCAGAATCCACACCAGAGAAAAGCCCTTTGAGTGTAGCGAGTGTGGAAAGGCTTTCAGTTACCTCTCCAACCTCAATCAGCATCAGAAAACTCACACCCAGGAGAAAGCCTATGAGTGTAAGGAATGTGGGAAAGCCTTCATTCGGAGCTCATCTCTTGCCAAGCACGAAAGGATTCACACCGGGGAGAAACCCTATCAGTGTCACGAATGTGGGAAAACCTTCAGCTACGGCTCATCCCTCATCCAGCACAGGAAGATCCACACTGGAGAGAGACCGTACAAGTGTAACGAATGTGGGAGAGCCTTCAACCAGAACATACACCTCACACAGCATAAGAGGATCCACACAGGAGTGAAGCCTTACGCGTGTCCCGCGTGTGGGAAGGCCTTTCGGCATTGCTCCTCTCTCGCACAGCACCAGAAAACTCACACGGAAGAAAAGCCCTACCAGTGCAATAAGTGTGAGAAGACGTTCAGCCAGAGCTCCCACCTGACTCAGCACCAGCGCATTCACACTGGAGAGAAGCCCTATAAGTGCAGTGCATGTGACAAAGCCTTCAGCCGCAGCACTCACCTGACAGAACACCAGAACACGCATTCCGGAGAGAAGCCTTACAACTGCAGCGAGTGCAGGAAGACCTTCAGCCAGAGCACTTACCTGACTCAGCATCAGAGAATACATTCAGGGGAGAAGCCTTTTGGCTGTAGCGACTGTGGGAAAGCCTTCAGGTATCGTTCAGCTCTCACCAAGCACCAGAGACTGCACCCTGGCATCTGACCGTCCTGGAAGCATCGTGGGTGTAGGTGCTGCATGTGCTTGGGTTTGTACTTTTGTTACGTACTGAAGAATCTAGACAGAAACTACTCAAGCATTTGAACTTTTCACTACTGTGATAAGGGATGGAAAGTACACTGGCTGAACCCCTGTGGCAGTGGGAAGCTCAAGTGTTTTAAACTTTAGTTTCCTCTGTGAAATCAGTTTGGGAGTTGATGATTCAGAGGCAGTGAGGAGTTTTATACTCAGTTTTGTATATTTACAGTATATTCTTAAATAGTTTGTGCATCAGGCTTTTGTGTGGTGCATCTAGAATGTGTATGTTCATGCATGTTTTGCCAGTAGAAGGAATTCGTGCTTCAGTCACGAGGGATCTGATTTACTCCTGTTCTAATGCACTAAGTTGCTTAGGTTATTGGTTTCTAATAAAAAGAACTACAAAGGACCCTCAGTTCAGATGTATGTGACAGCCTAACTCCACTTGCGTATTAAAACTTGGTAGTCAGGTGCGTGCTCTGCCCCTGTAGTCCCAGCTACCCAAGAGTCTGAGCCCAGGAGTTCAACACCAGATTGGACAACATAGTAGGATCCCATCTCAAAAAAACAAAAAGGTATCTGGGAGTTTATTACAGTCACATTGGTCTGCTTCTGCATCTCACAGCAGCACTACTTAACCCTGGTTGCACATGGGAATCACATGATGTCTAAGTTTAGGTTGCTATAACAAATTATAGCCAGGTTTGGTGGCATATACCTGTAATCCCAGACACTTGGGAGGCAGTAGGATTACAAGCTCGAGGACAGCCTCACCAACTTGGTGAGACCCTGTCTCAGAAAATAAACAAGGATGGGGATATTGCTTAGCAGTAGAGTACCCTGGGTTTAATCCCAGTTCCATAAAATAAACCAACAAAAATTTACCATAGAAGTTTATGGAGTCAGAAATCTGAGGTCCAGGCTCCAATGGACCTAGTATCTGCTGACAGCCCACTTCTTGGCAAAGAGCAGAGAAAGAAAGCAAGCTCTCTTTTTATAGGGTACCAGTCAAGTTCATGGGGGCTCCACCCTCAACCTAACACCTCCCCTCAGTGCCTCACACCGAATACTGTCCCACTGGGGTAAGCTGCCAACGTGTGCATTTGGACCAGACACTTCAGGAACGCCACACAATTCCATTGCCCAGGCCCCACCCCATAGACTGTAACCCACTTGGATTAGGATATGGGATCCAGCATCCAGGTTTTTTTTATGTTATTTGCTTTTAACGTCTCATGTGTACCCTGGAAAGAGCAATTGGCTTAGATTTCAGTGCCCACTCCTTCAGTCAGGAGCTTCTGTGGCCGCTCCTGGAAGCCTCGTAGATTAGCTATCAGAGGTAAGGTCAGTTTGTTTCTCGTCACCATAGTGCAAAAACAAAATTATAACGTTTATACTGATGACGGTCACTTCACATGTCTCTGGCTTCCTTACATCAGAAGCTGTTGACACCCTGGGGAGACATGGCCCATCATCTACATGACCACTCTGGCCCTGTTCAGGAAACACCTCTAGGTGCAGGCTAGTGTTTATCAGGCCAGGTCATTTAAGAGCAGTTGGTCATTTCTCAGCCCAGACTTGAACATGAAGAGATCTTGAGAGCAGCAGGCAGCACAGAAATGGGTAGTTCCAGAAAAGAAGAGGGGGTGAGGGAAACCAGTGCTGTTCTCTTTGCTTATGTAATTGTGCTCCTTCCTTGACTGAAGATGCCCGTGAAGGACACATGGAAGTCAGAAGTGAAACAGTGCAGCCACTTAAGTACTGGACTTTTGTTTGTTGCAGTTTGAAGCATCTTATACAGGAATGTTTCTTGTTATTAGTTTCCCAAGTCTGTCTGTCTTGCAGGAATCATAGTTACCCCATCACTTGGAGAAGGGGACACAGTCATCTTTGCCTGGCTTCTGAGTAGCCCCCACAGTACAAAGAAATGCGGAGTCTACATACAGCCCCAGAGGAGATCTGGAAATGGACAAAATCAGTCTGCAGTGGAAGGATGGGTCACTTCAGTTCCCATATGAAAAAGAATTTAGGTGGAAATTCCACTAAACCTGAAAAATGACAGTTGGTGGCATTTGATTTTATCTCATTACAGGTACTCTTGGATCAAGAGATTCTCAGCGCCAAGAATGTGTGATCACCTCCTATCTCAGTCACACTCCTGCAGAAGTGACCTCTCGGGCCTCCCTCTGCTTGCGCGGGCTGTTTCCCGTGTTTTAGAAGGTGCTAACCACTCCCAGGTGATGGAGGTTGAGAAGGGCAAGCAGCCAGGCCTCGGAAGTTAGCATCCTCCTGTTTCTGGATCTCCTTCTTATGTATTTGGCATCTTTGCTTGCTGTCCCAGACCATGTCCCTAAGCAGTAGACCTGCAGTTGCTGCTGATCCAAGGATCTGTCCTTTATCACCCCAGATGCACCTCGGCTCCCTACTTCTTTTTTTATACCTTAACTTCAATTTAAGAACAGAACAAGGAAGGACTACCATTTCTGACTTTTCCCCCTCCTAATTCTATAATTCTCTGTCCTCTGTATCATACACATATGACACTAATATTAGTTCCTTAATTTTCATCAACTGGGAGTGTAAGCAGAATTAAAATCTAGAGAATCATAGACGCAGCTCACCATCTGTGTGACCACTGACCCTGGATGGTGAGAGCTGTGACCTGGTCAGTCCCTCCTCGTTGGAGTGGACTGGTGGTGACCACAGGCAGGTGGGGCGTGCCTGGAGGAGGTGGGTCACTGGGGACCTGCCCGACGTTCTCCCTGTGGCCCCTTCCTCCCTTCCCTGCTCCCTGAGCTGAGCAGCTTCCCTCTGATGGGCTCTTCCTCCATGATGTGCTGCCTCCCTCACCTTGTGCCCAGAGCCACGGAGTTGGCCATCTCTGGACTGAGACCTTTGAGCCCCAATAAATTTTTCTTTCTCTTAGTTGTTTTTTATTTTTCCACGTGTTTCAGTCACAGTGATGCAAAAGCTCACTAAAACAGATGCAAGCCTGGGGTTAAAACTTGTGACACAGCTATATGTGTGCTTGACTTTAGTAGACACTGCCAAATAGTTCCCCAGTTTACAGCCCCACCACCCATATTTGAGAACTTCCATTGCCCCACATCTTTGCCAACTTCTCACTCACTGTGGACGTCAAAGCCACTGTTTCAAGTAGGGTGTTGGAGAGGCTAGTCTGGAGTAGGGCAGAGTTCCACTCCAGAGAGATGCTTTGGAGAGTCTACAGTGTATATTTAAAGTTGTGGGACTGGATGCCATGGCTAAAGTGGGGGGTGGAAGTAGATAAAGAAAAGTTCTGGGGACTGGCCCTTGGTAACTCCAGCTTCTAAGGGCTGGGGCAGAGGTCACTGATAAAGTACTTGCCTAGTAAGTGTGAGGCCCTGGGTTCCAATGCCGCCACCACCACACACATCTCCAACTTTCAGAAATCAGGATCCACATGGGAAGCAAGCAGCAGGTGTTTCGGGAGGACGAGCAGCAGAGTGTAGAATCCTGGAAGCCAGAGAAAGCCATGTTTCAGGACGCGAGGCTGACCATCATGGCAGACACTGCTGAGGCTGAATGAGAGGCAGACAGTCGGCCTCAGATTTGGCAAAGGGGACAAGGGTGATCTTAAAAGTATATCTAAACCCTGTTTTGTAAAAGTATATCTAAACCCTGGAGGGGTAAATATGAGAAAGGAAGCAACTGGAGAAAGCAAATTTGAACACTGGCTTTTGCTGTAAAAGGAGGAAGACATGGGTAGTTGCCAGTGGGTATCATGGAGTGGGGACTTCGTAACATGAGGTACTACAGTTGGAAAGCTGTTGGGATTGGACCAGAGAGGGAAAAATGGTGATCCAGAAAACAGAGGTGAGTAGCATGGAGTCCTTGAGGAAGCAGGAGGAGATGAGCCTTGGGTGCAGTGGCAGGGCTGGCTTAGAAGACAAGCACAGTGTGGTTGTTAGGATAGGAGGGGACATGAGTCCTCGCGCTTGGTCGAGGGGCTGGGGGAACATCTGGCATTCCCTTCTGTTTCGATTTTTCGTAGAAATTAGATAACAAATTAAGGATAAGAGGAGGTTAAAGAGGTGTTAGGTTTGAGGAGAGGCCATGAGGTCAACTCCTACAGTGTGGGAGAGGGAACTGTTCTTAGAGATGTAGGGTTAGAGGCAGCACCAGCAGTGCCCGTGGGGCACTAGTTCATGAGTTAAAGGGAGAAACTGTCATTAAGTGTCCTTCGAGCTGAAACCGGGATAGCCAGAAGTTTTCTAGGAGAAGAGACCAAGAGCAGGGGTGCTTACGTAAGGGGATTGCTGCGAGGGCTATAGAATTCAAGCTGGGAGGAAAGAATAAGGGTTGGAGGAGGGTGGTGGGAGAAGATGAGGGACTAGCAAGAAAAAAAAAAAAAACTCATGGCTCTTACAATTTTAGGTTTTGTTGGGACTGAAGAAATGGAGCAGATGTCGTAGTCTCCCAAAGAGTGAGGGAGTGACTTCTGCCAGAGGGGTGGGTGGTCCAGTTGTCAGCTGGGGTCTCCATGCAGCTAGGGGCTCTGGGTGACAGAATCATGGCCTGAAAGTGCTGAAAACCACAGCCAGTCTGTATGGCCTCTGGGCATTTTGCCAACAGTATTGATTGACAGGGGAGGCATTACTTTCCGCCTCTGCCGCTACTTTTGAGTTCTCCCACTATTTTGGAGTTCTCAGTGGGGATTTCCGGGGATTCCCCGAGAGTTCCCATTGGTTGGGGAAGTGCAGGAGGAGGGATTTCCCGGAGAGATATTTCCGGCTGGGGGTTCCTGGAGGAGCCGCCGTGGCATGCGGGAGAATTCCCCAGGAGCGTGGGTGAGGTTTCTTCTTGCAGTTCAAAAATAAAGTTTGTTCCTGCTTCAGTGGCTCGTGATTTGTGCCCAGCCAGACTGCGGCATGAAAGTGCAGCAAAGAACTAGAAGGCACCTTCCTCTGCCCCAGGCCTGGGTAAGTTAGGTGTGGATGTTGGAGCAAGGAAGAGGGGCCAGAATTTCTGGAGAGTTGTTTTTGAATCTGTGATACATGTTCTTGTGAATTTCATCATTATGCTGAATGTCAACCAGAAAGTTCCTTGGACAATTTGGGAACATTTGAATTAAGGATGGTGATCGAAGAGCCTGGTTTCTCAAATCTCACAGTAAAAAAAAGAACAAAGAAGAAGAAGAAAGGCAATACAAGAGGGCCCTTAGATCCCCAGCACCACGAAACAAATTGATTTTTGTTTTTTGTTCATCAGTGTGACTTTGCTTAATGTGAGTCAGTCCCTTCAACTCCTACTGCTGATCACACCTGGTTTTAAGAACTGGGCACTAGGCTCTGGACGATGACTACAGCAACAGTTACTCATTGAATAGCAACATTGCAGTCCGCTTTTGAGGCATGCTCTCATTTTCTTATAACAACCCCAGAAGGCTTGTGTTGCCATACCCATTTTCATAGGTGATGAAACAATCATATAAGTGGTGGAGACAGCTTTCAATTTCTGGTCTTGCTTCAAAGTCTGTACTTTTCCACTCATCTCAATGCCTACCACAGGCAGTGCTGTCCTGGGTACTGGGTTTTGGGTAGTGACAAGGACATAGCCACACCCTTGTTTCAACCTCCATCACAGTTTGGAACTTCTCTTTCATATACCCAGTATTTAATCTCTATGGCATTTCCCTTTTGGGCCTAAGCCATCACACAGATGCAAAAATACTTAATAAAATATTAGCAAATCATGTCCAACAACATATTAAGATTACATACCATGACCCAGATGGTTTTATTCCACAAGTGCAAGGATGGTTTAAAATATGCAAATCAATAAATATAATTCATCACCTAAAGAGGATTAAGGCCAAAAAAATCACTAAATCATCTCAACGGATGCAGAGAAGACCTTTGACAAAATTTAGCACCCATTCATGATAAAGACACTGAAAAAACTAGAGATGTAAGGAACCTACCTCAATATCATAAAGGCTATATATGAAAAATCCAAAGCCAGCCTCATAGTAAATGGGGAAATACTGAATGCATTTTCTAAAATCTGGGACAAGACAAGATGTCCACTCTCACCACTCCTATTTAATATAGTGCTAGAGGGCTGGGGTTGTGGCTTAGTGGTAGAGCACTTGCCTAGCAAATGTAAGGGACTAGGTTTGGTCCTCAGCACCACAAAAAATAAACAAAATAAAGGTATTGTGTTCATTTATAACTAAATATTTTTTAAAATATAGTGCTAGGAAATCTAGCCAGAGTAATTAGGAAAGAGAAGGAAACAAAAGGGATAAAAACAAAAAAGGAAAAAGTCATATTTTCACTGTTTGCACATGATTTGATCCTATACCAAGAAGATTTAAAGAACTGTACCTAAAGACTGTTAGAGCTAATGAATAAATTCAGCAAAGTAGCAGGTTACAAAATCAACATACCTTTCATATATCCCAGCAGTGATTCTGCTGAGAAAGAAATCGGGGAAACAATTGCTTTCACAATAGCCCCAAGAAAATGAAATAACAAGGCATAAAGCTAACCAAGTGAAAGACCTCTACAATGAAAACTATAGAACACTGAAGAAAGAAATTGAAGAACTCAGAAGATGGAAAGACCTCTCATGTTCTTGGACAGGCAGAATTCATATTGCTAAAATGACCATACTACCAAAAGGAATATACAGAATTGATGTGGCACCCATCAAAATATCCATGACGTTCTTCACAGCACTAGAAAAATCAGTCCTAAAATTCATATAGAAGAATAAAAGGCCCAAATAGTCAAAACAATTATAATCCAAAATAATGAATAAATAATGCTAGAAGCATCACAATTTCTGACTTCAAAAATCTACTACAAAGCTATAGTAACAAAAACTGCATGAGACTAGCATAAAAATAGGCACCTGATCAATGATACAGATTAGAAGATATAGAGAAAAACCTGTGCATCTACAGTCATCTGATCCTTGATAAAGGTGCTAAAAACATACAATGGAGAAAAGATAGTCTTTTTAACAAATGGCACAAGGGAAACTGGTTATTCATATGTAGAAGAGAAAAACTAGATCTTTATCTCTCACCCTGCACAAAAGTCAACTCAAAATGGATCAAAGATGTAGGAATTAGATCAGAAACTATGCAACTGCTAGAAGAAATGTAGGGTTAATCCTACAACATATAGGCACAGGCAATGGCCTTATGAATAGGATACCTAAGGCTCAGGAAATAAGGCCAAGTGTTAATAAATGGGTTGCTGTGGAATTGAAAAAGCATCTGTACAACAAAGGAAACAATTATCAATGTGAAAAGAGAAGCTACAGAATAGTAGAAAATCTTTGCTAGCTATTTTTCTGACAGAGAATTAATATCCAGAATTTATAAAGAAATCAAAAAACTTTACACCAAAAAATTAGATAATCCAATTAATAAATAGGCAAATGAACTCAACGCATACTTCTCAAAGAAATACAACAGCCAAAAAATACATGAAAAAATATTCAACATCATTAGCAATTAGGGAAATGCAAATCAAAACTACACTGAGATTTCATCTCACTTCAGTCAGAATGGATGAATGGATAAAGAAAATGTGACACATATAAAAAATTTTATTCAGCCATAAAGAATGAAATTATGTCATTTACAGGAAAATGAATGGAATTATAGACCATTTTAAGTGGAATAAGTCAAATTCAGAAGGTCAAGGGTGGTATATTTTCTCTCATGAGCAGAAGCTGGAAAGGAAAAAGAAAAATGTGGGGGTGGATCTCATGAAAATCAAAGAGTGGTCTGTATTAGAAAGGGACGAAGGGGTGAATGGTGGGGATGAAGGAGAGAAGTAAAGGGGATCGATATTGGCCAAATTATATTGTTATATTGTCTGCATGTATGAATATGTAACGACAAATCCCATCATATGTACAACTATAAT